CTGTATTTTAACCTTATAAAAAATCTTCTGTTTTCTAGGAAGATATCATCTGCTCCAAAAAAGGCATTGTGGCATTCCATAGTTATTCTCTCTGGCCCCAATCCAGCAAAACACTTAAGCATGGCTTAATATTAAGCATTTGCTTAAATATTTTGCTGGATTAAGATACTCAGGGCATGATCTTGAAAAGGATGACACCCTACACAACAGTGTTTCTTAGCCATTTGGTTGTGACTCAAGATTGTCATTACAGGCAATTGTGGAACAGGGTCACAAGGCACTGAAAATTTTGTTACAGTCTAAAACAAAAGAAAATCTCATTCCTCCATTCCCTGCACACACTTATCCCTAAAGGTCAAGTAAGTTCCATCAGCTTCTTGAAATACACTAAAATAACTTACAGAGGTTTATCACCATTATATTTCTTACTCTGACTTTTACCATAAACAGAATAAGATTATTAAAATGATTGACTTTGAATACAGGGTCACCACCCTGGGCAACACGACCTTAGATGACTCCATAACAGCAAAATTTGCTCTGTTTATTAACTTCTGAAAGCCTTAATGGCCAACTCTGCAGTCTCAACTGGTAATGTGAAAATTAGGATGTTTTCTTTTGCCACACATGACGACATTATTCTTGCACCCATTTAACCAACTACCCATTTAACACTAACCTAGAAGGGTCAGTGCACAGATCCAACTTTTGCATGTTACTGTATCAGAAGCCTTTATAAAGTCTGGATTTGCATCACCTCACAGATGTATCTTGTCATGCAAGTTCTCCTTGCTAAGAGCTTTTCTAACCCCACAAAAGAGAAAAGTCAGACTGATTCACTATGATCTATATTTTAAATTATTATGACAAATGCCATACAAATTTCCTTTGATTGAGGTGTGAAAAGAGCAGGTACTGGTACATCTAGAAGTCGCCAGGACTGGATGGTATTCATCCAAGTGTGTTGGAGGAACCGGAAAAAGAAGTAACCGAGAAAAACCTCAAGGTTTGGCTCTGAGCAACGAGCTTGAACACAACATGGACACATGGAATGTCTGGCCATAGTGGATTCTTGTGAAAAGCATCACACATGCTGTCCATCTGGTAACAATGTTTTTTTCCCCTAGCATGCAATTAGCAAGCACCCATTTGCGTCACCACTCTCTACTGCTGTGGGCAACAGAAAGGCTGCATTTGGACCCAGCCCCCACACCTGTGTAGTATGGGAGAACTGATTAAGCTGGTCCCCCAGGGATGGCTCAGTTCTGTTTTCTCTGACTTGAGTTCCCCACTCTGCTTACAATGCACTAGACAGGAAAAGCGTGTAGCAGCAGTGTCAGGAAAGGGATGAAGTCAGTGGAGGCGAACAGCACGAACAATGGTCCCACGTGATCTCCAGAGAAGGATAGGGAGGATAGATGTGAGAGCAGGGTGAGGAGAAGATGACATGTTGATCTATGTGATGTTGCACAATTAATGGTAAGGGGCTAGATCTTACACTTCAATGCGAGGCCATAACACAGTCTGCAACTTCCCTTGTGACGGATTTATATCTTTCTGTGCATACAGCAGGTCAGACACTTACAAGAAAGTCTTGTGCTGCTGGTAAAACCAACCACAGGAAGGGCAGGAAAGGATGTCGTGGTGGCAAAATGCAGAACCCCCTGCAGCCTTTAAAAGAGCCACGGCAAAAACTGAAAGTCTAAGGGCTCCAAAATAAACTGTCTGTGCATGAGTCTGTGGCAACAGAAAGAGGAACTCCACGCTAGACTCTGCTGCTGCAGAGTGGTACAAATGCTGTAACCAGAATAGATGGCTGCTCGGAAGCAGCTGAAACGCTGTACAAACTGCGAAAACAGTAAAAAACCAAACCATGAAACTGCAAGGAGCAGAACAAAGAAATATGATGTAAATTAAGGTCAACTACATGGAGCAGAGGGTACAGACACCAGTAAGCTGTTTATACATAAGATAACATTAGAGTGTGTTTAGAGAACAGAGCCAAGATAGGAACCAGGCAACAATGATCTTACTCATAAGGGACAAAAGTTCATATCCTGCCCAGCCCAGAGTGATTGAAGGGACACAAGTGGAAAGAGTTTGGTAGTCAGAGATTTGTTTTCATTAGCCAAAAATCATAGCTTTTCATGAATAGGCATGAGGGAAGGGCCTAACGAGTACGCTTTATTCATCTAATGCTCTGTTATGTGGTTGTAAGGTGTTCTGCACAACTGTAAACATAATCAACAAACACGTTTACTAGGATATCCAAATGCAGGAAAGGAAGTCAGTTTTGTAAAATCTGAATCGGATACTTGGATTTTCCTGCCAAGCCAATATCCTTGCTTTCTTCTGCAGAGCAGCAAATTGTTGCCACAATCCAGGATGTAACCAAAATGCCCAGTCAAGGATCAGACATAGGGAACTGGTGTTGCTTTCACGGTAGCGATTGAGTATCCCCTGGCAGGGCACCAGTATCCCAGCCATCTTTTCTTATATGGCCTTAGCCCTTTATTGTACTCTCAATGGCTGATTCCTCATTGTTTTGAGTCTTTAGTAGTCCTTGAGATCAGGCACAGCAAGCACCAAGTGGGTGCAAAACTTAGGGTTATCAATAGTGCAAATGATTATACAAGGTGCAAGGTCCACAAAATTCCCATTGTCTTTGGTAGGGCAAGCGATGTAAAGAGCTAAACATGGCTCTCTATAACATAATAGGAATATGAGAGCCCTTCACTGAACATGTTGATGACACAACAGTGTACGTAATTTAAATTTCTCAGCTTATTAGTGTAATTATAACCTGTCCTCCTCTTCTTCAGTTCAATTACTCACATTTCAAGGAATATGTTTAGCTTTGTAGTCTCACAGATTACGTATAATACATTCAATCTACACCTCTTTTACTAAAAAAATAAGTAACAACAAAAGATACTGTCCTTAATATGGAACACCAAGTACTAGCTGCCTGCCAAAAAATAATTGTAGGGCTTTGGTTACTGAAGTTGCAACCTTTTCTTCTTCCATGAAAAAAAAATCTTATTCTCTCATTTGTGGCAACAGAATAACTTATTTTGGCACCTAGTGTCCCATACAAATAAATATCTGTATGTTACAGTGCACAAAAGGCGTGTGATAAAAACCCAGCACAACAACTGCAGAATCCAGAAGGAACAAAATATTCATACTGCTACACTACTGGAATTGCCTGCATAAATTAACAGATATAAATTAGTATTTTTACTAAAATTAATTTAATGTAAGAATAGAAGGCATGAATTAAAATCTAATTGATGATAATCGGTTTCAATTTGTGCTTTAATTAAGATGAATTATTTTTACATGCCGATGTGAATCGGAACTCAAACTAGGAAACGACAAAAGAAGACAGAATGGAAAAGATAACGTATACTCAATTTTATGTTTTTACCTCTCAATAGCACCCACCCACCCAACCACACGACAAAACCACACACCTTGATCCTTGCCTGAAGACACTCTAGAGAAAATGATACCCTATATAAGTGCTATTCTGCAGACAAAGATAGGCAAAATTTTAATTTTTGAGGCACACAGCTGGGTAGCATGTAATGAAATCTGGCAGCCTTTAAGGTTTTTTTTTTATGGACACAGACACCCAATAACAAAAAATATATACCTGATGTGCCAATATGTATATATTGTGACCAACATCTTTTGGTGAAATATTATCTCCATTCTCCTCCTGTTCCTCACATTCTAAAGCCTGATTGTATGCGTTCTTCATTACGTCCACCTTTAAAAGAAATAAATTTAAAGAGAGGTAAAATATTTTAATTGTATGAAAAATGTGTCCTGTGTTCAGATGCGCTCATTGTGCACCAATCAAATTTGGACAGGTGCCATTAAGTCCTACAGGAAGAGTACATACCCTGAAAAGCACATTCTGAATTAACAGAAGCCCGAGGAGGTGTTTTGTTTATTCTTAACTCAACCAATTGCACTCTGCCTTGTTGTTCTGTGCTTTGCCATGTTAAGATAACCTGCTAAGTATGCAGTACAAATCTAGTCTGATACTTCCTTGTGTATTTCAGGTGAAATTAATTCAGATGCGGAGGATTTTCTCTACCAGTGTGAAAGGATGGCCTGTGGTTAAGACTGCTAGTCTGGGGTCCGGGAGACCTAGTTTCCTGTGTAACCCTGGACAAGGCCCAAAACTTCAAAGATGGCCCCATTGATTTCAATAGCTGTTAGGTGCCTATACAACTTTTAGGGGTTGGGCTTTATATTCTCTATACCAGGGGTAGGGAACCTTTTTTTGGGTTGTGGGTTGCTGACCCCCAGAAAAATCAGTCGGGGGCCATACACAAGTGAGAAGCCCCTGAGACGGAGAAAGACACTCCTCACATTCCCCTCGCACACCAGAGCCTAAGGGGACCCAGGCTAATAGATTTTGTGTGCTCCAGCCCTGTGGGTGGGTGGCAGGGGAGCTAGAGTCCAAGCCAGGCTCCCCAATGCAGGGGGGGGGGATCCCTGAGCCTCAGGGGCCAGATTCAGGCAAGCTGGGGGCTGCATCTGGCCCTTAGAGCAGGTGAAGGCAATATGGGGGCTGCATCCAGCCCCCAGGCCTGAGGTTCCCCACTCCTGCTCCTGCCATGGTTCTCTGCCTACAGAATGAGGATAACAATACTTCCCTACCTTGCAGAGGTGTTGCTGGGATAAATACGTTCAAGGTTGTGAGTTGCCCATCTATTACAGTAATGGGGCCCAATAGGTACTTTAGATAGCCAGATAGTGAAGCCCTGCAGTGGGAGAAGAGGGGGTTGGGCAGGTAGGCGCCATATGGTATTTCTACATAAATGACAAACAAGCTGATTCGGAAGCAGCACAGGGAATGGGGCAGAGTAGGGTGACAGGATCCACGCTTACACAGAGTACACAGAGATACTGATTAGCATTCCCATAGGCTGGAATAGCAGCCACCAAGAGGCTGTGTTACAGTCTCATGACCTAGCTGTGTGTTGGGATGGAAATTTGTACCACTCCACCCCTGTTTTCTTAAGCTTTGTACAGGGAGGGCTGCATTTTAACCTTCTAAATGTCTTTTATACTAACAGGGTGAAATCCTGGCTCCACTATCAACAACAGCATAATTGTCACAAACTTCAGTAGTGCCAGGAATTTGTGCATTAATATTTTTTAATGGTCTCCAGGGAAACAGGTATAAAAATTGGTTTCTAGGACAAAAAAAAATTAAAGTATCAACAATTAAGATTAAAATCTAACAATAAACTTTGTGGAAGAGCTTGTGTGAAATTCAACATTTCTATTTTTAATATCCAAGGTAATCAGATCATGTGCTTCAAAGGATAAACTAATGGCTTAGAGGGGTCAGGAAGGAATTTTCCTCTCCATGTTCAACACTGTACAATTACATGGCTTTTTTGGTCTTACCCTCAAAGTTTCAGGGTCAAAGGCATACCACCAGACCAGATAGACCACTGATTGAACTTATCACATCTTTTGAAAAACATACTAATTTCTACTAAATTTTGTGAAGCTCAAAATAGCGACATTTTTCTCTCTCAAAACTTCTGCCCTAGTGAGAAATCAACCAAAAACATGGGCCTCAAGAAAGGTTGCTTGTTGAAATAAGTATGTTTAAAGAAAGCTTGCTGAGGCTACTAACAATGGCTAAAGATCACAGATGCTGCAGGCAGTACCTTGTTGTTGGACCTTATAATGCAGGATACTCACAACCTGTTCCCAGTTGGAAGCACGCAGCAACATGTCTCACTCACTCACTCACCAGCAAGCTGTGTATCATGCAACAGTCAAAGAGAAATGGAAGGCAGGGATCTGGGACAGGTCGTTGGGAGGGTCAGGGATCTTAAGGCCTCTCAGAGAGTACAGAAAAATATAATTTCTTTGTACCTTGCATAGGCTCCGACTCTGCAAGAGAACCCTGTGGGGAAGCCTGACTCACTCAAAATGCTCTACATGGCCCAATGGTCTGTCCGCACAGATCTTATTGCAGGATGGAATCATGATTTTTGCAGTCACCAAGTTGTCCATTTCAGATGGAACTGGCCACTTCCCCAGCTTTTCCACCATAACAGAAATTCATGGGGGACAATTACAAATATTATCCCTATTCAGAGACACAGTAAAAATGTTTTTGACATTTTTGTTTGGCCTGAGAAGCATGTGCTTTCTTCTCAGTGCCATAAAACAAATGGTACAAGCTTAATGTCACAGTTACTGACAAAATGCACTTGAAGACAGTTTACTGGAGTCTGATAATTTAGTTAGGAAACAATTACAGAAAAGTGCTTGTCCTGGATAAAAATAATGAAGTTGTAAAGAATGAAGTCATGCATGTTTGATCCTTTTAAAATACCTTTGGAGAATTAGTACTATCTCTATATGTGGCCATCAGTTTAGCCACAAATCCTTTACCAAACACAGTGATAAGAGTTTTGGGGGTTAGGGTTTAGCCAAAAGATTTATGAATATTCAGAAGTTTTCTTACCAGTTCCCTTGGTCTCATATTAAAAAGGATCCTTTCTGCATTCTCACTATCATGCCTGCTTTCCATAATAGCCAGCAAAAGCTTGGAGGCATTGTTCTAAAGATACAAAACCAAATTAATGCAAATGTAAAATCTATTTCATGGATTAATGAACCTTGCATTCATTTTAATTGAGATTACTAGGACCACTTTTTTTTTTTTTAAGTGGATACCATTTTAAACTGCTTGTATCTTCTATGTACTGGCCCAGTGAATAGTTGCCCTCTGACTTAGATTGCCAATGCCCGTCAGAGCAAATTAACTATGTATGATATGTTGGAAGAGGTATTATAAAAGAAACACTTTTATTCTGCATGGTGCACAAGAAATGAGATCACAGTACCTGTTCTTGTTGCCCACTTCACGGTTTTTGTCAATTTGTTAAAGCAATTGAGAGCAGAGGTAATAATTACAAAGTGTACTATACAAAAGGTTTTGCCCACGACGCACATTTCCTTCCCTTTTTGTTTTTTAAAGCATAATTAGTTATTACCCGAAAGGCTATAAAATCAACAGATTTCATAATCTTCAAATTTAAGCTGAGAACCAAGTATTGAGCATATTCCTCGATTCCTGGCAGTAGTTTTAACTATTTAGTTTTCACACGGCTGTCCCCCAGGTCTAAAATAGCATGTCTTTGAACTACAGTTCCATTAGGCTAAGTCTACAGTGCAGCACTATTTCAGAGTACCAGGTATCCCAAAAAAGCTATTCCACATCTTTTGAGCACACCCATTATTTCACAATATAACGGGCTTGCTATTCCAAAGTCCCTGTAAACCTCATTCCACGAGGAGTAAGGAAATAAGCCATAGCCCAAATTGCATAATGTATTTTGAGCTTCAGGTGCAGTGTAGACGTACCCTTAGAGATGTTAAAATGAGTTTAATCAAAATTTCAGCAGCACCCCGATGAGCGGCGCAACGGGACCCACTCAGCAGCACCTCAGCTGCTCTGCCCCAGGTGTCCCTGGAATCAGCCGCTGGTCAGTTTCAGCAGCGGCTCAATCAGGGACGCTTGGGGCAGAGCAGCTGGGGTGCTACCGGGTTGGTCCTGTAGCACCTGCTGAAACTGCCCAGCGGCTGACTCAGGGAAGCCGGGGCAGAGCAGCTAGGATGCTGCTGGGTTGGTCCCATAGCGTCGCCCATCGGCGCTGCGGAACCAACCCGGCAACATCCCAGCTGCTCTTCCCCAGACTTCCCCAAGTCAGCCGCTGGTCAGTTTCAGCAGCAGCTGAATCGGGGAAGCCGGGTGTAGAGCAGTTCCAATTGTCCGGCTGCCCGGAGCATTTCACAATGGTGTCGGACCATCAGGAGTGCCGGAGCATTGGATGCCGGACCAATGGAGTTTTATTGTAGTAGATACCCAGTCTCTGCGTGATCGAGTTGTTGGAGGAAGCTGAAGGTAGATTCCTGGATACGATGGTGAATGGAAAGAAAATTCTCTGGGCCAAAATGACTGGGTCAGCTGAGCTAGGGGAGCCCACAGTCTTGCTGGGCCACTAGACAAGGTGAGGGGAGGGACAGCTCTGTGCTCCCAGAAAGGATAGGACCTCAGGTGTAGGGGAGGAGGGGGCTAGAGGCAACCACATGGCACTCCAGCAGTGATTTAAAGGGCTACAGGTGCCACACAACTTCCGGGGTGGCAGTGGCTTGAAGCCCTGGGCCCTTTTGAATCACTGGAACCAAGGGTAGTTGCCCCCTTTGCCTTCCTTGTCCCCTATCCTCCCCCCATCCGCAGGCCTGAGATGAGCTGAATTGAATTAATTTGTTTACTAATTCCACCTGGTATATTATGCTGTCATGAGAGTAGATAAGCATCAGAGAGCCTAGCTCTCTTGCTTAGGCATTTTTTAAATTACTTGAATCTGCATAGGTAAATAGAATTATTTCCTGTACCTTTAGCTGAAGCACCAGGTCCATGCAATATTTGCCAAGAGGGTTTATGTCATTCAGGATCAGTGCAATTATAATATCAATTCCATTAGACTCATGGGTAGCAATGCAGGTCTTTTAAAAACAGAAAAAAAAGAAAAGAGAGAAGCACAAATATGAGCATAGTTTTCGAAACAAGGGCCCAGTTCCTAGACTACTCTGTGGCAGTACTTCACCCGATGGGCAGTGTGAGGTAGCCTTAAAGCAACAAGTAGCTGGCCATAGGAGAGAGGATCAACCTCATGGAGTAGAGGCTTTCCTTTAAATAATAAAAAAAAAAGTACAGCACCTGAAATTTACAGCTCTGGATAATGATAACTGAACATTTCACAACTAGATCTTTTAAGCTATAACAAATGTCAAGCTAAAACAGCCTGTGGGATTTTTTTAACATTTTAAAAACAATATTTTACAACAATAGCAAAGAAAAGTCTTAAAAATTGAAAAAAAAAGAAAAATGAGTTGGAAATGACAGCATTGAGTGTCTGCCTCTGAAATGTACATGCTCAACTCGTGTAAAAGAGCATAATCACTATTCCTTAGTTACTTCACAGCAGATCTAGCTAATGAAATCTAAACAATCAATCTTTTTTTCATTACCAGGGTTCTCTGTGAAGCTAGATAAATAGTTAATTTGAAAACACATTTTTCTTTCCCTTTACAGTACTCTAATTATCTCTGTGTTTTTGAATAGTTTGACCCATGAGTTTTTAAGCAAACACAGTTATTTAACTTTCAGTGCACTTAGGCTTTTAAAGTATGAATTAAGGCTGCTTGATTGTCAGTATTGCAGACAACTACGATATATACTAGGAAGTAACATGAATGTTAAACTCTATGATCCAAAAGCAAACCATTTCAGTTTTAAGAAAAGGCTTTTGTTTTGTAATTCGATGCACCAAATTTCTCCATTACTAATCCATAACAAAAAAAATTACACCTTCTGTTACACCTTTTCTTTGATTTACTCAGTGCAAGTAGACTGGTACCATTTACTTTTTCTTTCTATCCTCCCTATTGGCATGGAACACACATGTGTCAGAAGACTCGTGTACAGGTTGGACCTTTCTGGTCTGGCACTCTCAGAACCTGACTGGTCCCAGATTAGGGATTTTTGTCACACCAGGGGCGGTCATTTCTGGTCTCTCTGCCCTGCACCCACACTGGGCTTCCCGGCTCCTCCAAAGCAGCCCAGTTGGGCTGTGCGCTGTGCTTCCCATCCCTCCTCTACTTGTGCAGCCCAGCTGAGCCACACGCCAACTCCTGGTCCACCCGCAGCCCAACAGAGATATGCGCCAATCCTGGTGCCCCCCACCTTGCAGACCAGGTGGGCTGCATGCCGCACCTCCCTGCATTGCACGGGATCCAAGGGTCACCTTCCCTCCCTCCTTCCCTCCACTCCCCCCCAGTACACTGGGACTCTCTGATCCTGGAACATCGGTGGTCCTGCAGGACCATGAATGTCGCCGGACCAGAGAGTTCCAGTTTTTGGAGGTGCAACCTGTATATGACTTTATAGATTCCATCTCACAAAGCACTTAGGCACATATGTAACTAAATGTCCTCAATGGAACTGTTCATGTGTTTAAAGTCAAACATGCTTCGGTCCCTAAATCTGTGTCAGTAAACAATGAACACGCCTTAAAGTAACTGGTGAGTATAGAAAAGTATGGCAGCATACACCTGCCTCTCCCTGGGTGCGTCTAGACTACATGGCTCCATCGACGGAGCCATGTAAAGTAGTTTACTCGGCACAGTCAAAGAAGCGGGGATTTAAATAATCCCCATTTCATTAAAATAAAAATGGCCACCACGCTGTGCCGACAATCAGCTGATCTGGCACAGTGCAGCAATCTAGACGCGGCATGGTGGACAAGGGAAGCCTTTGTCGACCGCTCCGGTAATGAGGTTTACAGCACTACAGAAGGTGTCTCGAATTCATGGCCTGCAGTCCATCTACAGCCAGAGTATATTCACAATCCAGTATGGGAGTCCTGGTGGCCAGGAGGTGTGTCTGTCCCTGTCTCCCAAGCCACCGGCCCACCTTGTCCTCCCCATTGCACCCCATGCTCTGAGGAACAGAGACTCAGGGATAACTGGGCCGGGCGGGAACTGGGCCAGAGTGTGAATTTGCTTTGGCTGAAGATGGTCTGCAGGCCATGAGTTTGAGACCCATGTACTACAGAGAAGACCTGATTAGAGGAAACGAGTCCAAGCGCTGATAGAAGTGCATTTTCAAAGGCCTTTTAAACCTTGGCAGGGCTTCCAATAAGCTAAAGTCAGCCATATAATTTGAACTGGGTCTTGAATTATTAAGAATATGAAACGGTTACATAACACACAGGTTAATTCTTCCTCATCAAAAAAACAATTATTCTAGCTACCTGATTTTCATGACATGGGCCTTGGCAGTATTCAGTCAAGCTCTCAAGGGTTTGGTTCACCAGGGCTACGTTCTTCTCATTGATGTATAGCCCCAACAGGCCCAGGCCTCCTGTTGTACTTCCACAAATACAGTCCAAAAACTGCAGAGTCTCACACACTAGGTTGTAATTTGTTTTGTTGTTCTGATTTCTTAAGAAGGTCTGAAAGATAAAAGAGATCAGCCACAGACCCTGAATAGCCTTATCTTTTAATGGTAAATTTTCCACTTGCCATGTGAACAGGTGAAGATTTCACCACACACAAAACACTGTGTATTTATGTACTCAGAAGTGAAGAAATACAAAAATTGAAATCAAATGCACAGATGTTCCCACCTATGCATTATTTTACAGAACCATACCTGGAGCTCTCGGTTGTGGTTCTCACATAGCAACTGAAGAAATCTCAGTATCGGCTGCATGATTGTTATAGCAGGGCTCATTATTGCTTCCTCTGTGGACTTTTCTTCTGTATTTGCAGCATCTGCTCCTGAGCCCATAAGATCTATTTCTGGGTCCATTTCTCTTCTATACACAGAGTAAGCTTTGGATGTTGCAGAAGATGCTTCTGTTAATTGCCCCTTCATACCCTGTTTCAGGTGCAGTGTTGAATCCCTTACTGTAAATGAAGATGATAATTCCCATTTTCCCCCTGGTTCAATTCATTATAAATAATAAGTAACAACAACACTGCTTGGGTGTTTTGGATTGGGGTTGCTGTTGTTGTTTTTTTTTTTTTTGTACTCAATGCCTAAAGACCTCTGGGTAGCATACAACAGAATATTAATGTTCACAAAGGAATAACACGTTCCAAATAAACCTCAACTAACAACGAAACAGTAAATTAAAACAAAAATCTGCCATCTTTCTTCCACATACAATGGATGATGAGAACAATGGATGACTGGAATAACTCTTATGAACAGCACTTTCCCCTGGTATACACTATGGTATAAGTTTGAATTAAGATACGCAACTTCAGCTATGTTAATTGCGTAGCTTAAGTTGAAGTATCTTAACTTGAATTTTGGCGGCATCCACATTGCAGGAAGTCGAAGGAAGAATACCCTCCCTTTGACTTCTCTTATTCCTCATAGAAGCAGGACTACCAGCATCAACCAGAGAACCCTCGTAGTTCAAATTAGCATGTCTTCACTAGACCCACTAATTCAAACCCCAGAAGATCAATAGAGGCTGCTTCCATCTCTGTAGTGTAGACTTGGCCTCTTAGTTTCAGCTTTATTTCTGTTGGTGTAAAAATACAGGCCCAGAGCCTCTGTGTGTGTAAATCGCTGTAGCTCCACTAACTTCAATAGGGCTATTCGGATATGACTAGCTGAGGATCTAGCCCATAATTTAGAAATGACAGCAATTAACTGTGAATAATTCTTTGCATTAAGAACATTCAGTTTCCAATCATGTACTTTTATTTCAGCAGCCCAGCGTCTGCTGTAGCTGCTCTGCAAAGTAGGTATGGTATCAGTGGTGCTCTACATGCTGTTCATATAAAAAAAACATGTCTTTTGCCTCTGTTTTAGAGAAATTCCCCTTTACCTCGCCTTTTTGGAGCAGATATAATTAGGTCACTATCATCATCCTTTTTCTTGCTACCCAAATCAATAGTGTTGACTGTCCTGCTGAGCAGTTTTCATGCGGTCATGTAGAACTTTAAAGAATTTTTCCGACTTTTTTTGCTCGTTCAATTGCTGGTAAGTGGAATACTGTAAGAAAAGGAATCCTTTAGCTATCAGGATTTTAAACAAGGAGAAACAGTTTCAGCAAAACAAGTTAAATACTAGTTTATCCTTAAATTATGCACTCTAACAAAAAAAATTGGGTATTGACAACCTAATTCTTCATGTAGAACTTTAAAGAATTTTTCCGACTTTTTTTGCTCGTTCAATTGCTGGTAAGTGGAATACTGTAAGAAAAGGAATCCTTTAGCTATCAGGATTTTAAACAAGGAGAAACAGTTTCAGCAAAACAAGTTAAATACTAGTTTATCCTTAAATTATGCACTCTAACAAAAAAAATTGGGTATTGACAACCTAATTCTTTTATATATTAATCCTCGGAGTTGGTCATAATATTTCAAATTCTGAAACATTAAGAACATTTAAAAATTTTGGAAAAACGAGGGAGGGAGGATTTCAATGCTATTTTGACTGCTTGTTGGTTACAATTTTTCACGTTCAAAATACTAAATTTTGAAAAGGAAGAGTGAAATTATTTGTGAAATTTCCCATTTTTAACAGTTGTAGTGACATTCCCATTTAATAACAAAACAGTAATAATAATAGTATCATTACTATTAGTAGTAGTAGTAGTAGAGCTTAAACTACACAAACTCTTTAAGTCTTCTTTGTCAGATACTAGTTTTCAAACTAGTTTACAGATTTTTTTCCCCAGAGGGACACACTCCTTTCAAACGGAAACAGAATGACTGATTTACCAAAGATACATCTTTTTTACAAAACAAAAAATACAAAAATTAAAATCCTTAAACTGTGTTACATGTATTAAATAAACATGACTTTTAAAATGGAATACTGGTTTTATGAAACCCCTCACTTTTACATTAGTTCTATTTTTAAAACTTTTGAGAAGTGTCTTTAAATTTTTTCAGAAAATAACTTAATTTTTCTGAATAGTGATAGAAATGTAGCCGTGTTAGTCTAGTGTACCTGAATTACCTGCATCCTGCTTCAAAAGCCTTTTAAGACTGCACTTGAAAGAGAATCCTCTGAACTGTTATTCATGTTTAAATTCGACACTTTACGCCTGAGTCTGAATAAGGCATCTAATTACCTTACCTATTACAAAGATAGCTTCCCCAATTATCACCTCTAATATCATTAGCTCACAGACATTTACCTTCCCCCCCCCCCAATCATCCTTCTGTTCTGAAATTTGATTTGTCCTTTTCATATGTGTTCATTTTTTAAAATTGTATCCTTTGGTATACATGGTTGTGACAATTTTCTTCCTCTATTTGATCTGAGGAAGTGGGTCTGGCCCACGAAAGCTCATCACCTAATAAACCATCTTGTTAGTCTTTAAAGTGCTACATAGTCCTGTATTTAATTTTTCTGGTGTTTTTGACGTGGTGGTACAGTTTATTTAAAATGACTCTTCAAAATGCTTAAACTCATAAAGACAAACAAAATAACAGGAGATAACATTCAAATGGTCACAAGACAAAGAACTACATACAAAGAAACAGTTTAAAAGTGCTTTCCACTGTTGAGGTATCTACAGAATAAGATATTGCATGATTAGCAAAAGCATATTAATTTTGTCTTAATTTTTCTCCATGATACATGCATTTCAGAAGCAATGAATGAGAAGTAAATACCTGTGTTTGTGTATTTCCACCTTCAAGCAATGCAATACCAAGTAGGATAGCTTCTGAGAAAATTCTGTCATTTTTGGTGCTTACGATAACATCTATGACTAGTTCCGATGCACCTTCTTTATCCAGAAGGCACTGAATATCAGACATCAATATTGCAGACTTATCTGAATCTTGTCCTGAAAAGCCACCTGCAAATATATATCCTGTATATTCATATTGGCATTGTGTATACATGTTAAAATAAACTGCCTTATAACTGGACATCAATTTCCAGCAGCAATATAACAAATCTAATCCTGAAATTCTTACTCAGGCAAAGCTCTCATTGATTTATATAATTCTGCATAAATGATTACTTTAGGTTTGGGCCCCAAGAATAAAAGAATAAGCAAACCTGAAATAATGCAAGATCAAAATCATAGCAACACTGAGTAATTCTGACAACAATGAAGATGGAGCCTAAGCAACTTATTCACAGAAGCACATTTTTATTGGATTAATTATTGTATATTTTCAAGGTAAGCTGCAAGGTCTTTTGAAGGCCTGGATCCATGTGCCCTTTTGCTTTTTTATGAATTATAAAGATAGGCTGAAAGGTGATATTGATTAGGGGTGTTTTATTTTTTCCCTTTTTTTTAAACCTAAGGCATGATCTACACTCCAATTTCGTATTGTGAAAACAATCTTTGTTAGGCGTGGAAATAGTTAAAAATACACCCCTACACACACATGCACACTTTGGGCATGGTTATTCTTATATAAAAGTGCCATATGCAAGTACAGCATATTTGCCCGTCCCTTACGGGGAAGCTACATCAGAGTTTGATATTATTATTGCACTGGCATAAACACTTCAATGGATACAACTATCTATACTAGGGAGACTGTACCATTTTAACCATACTGCTACAGGAAAGTGATAAAGCTTATGCAAATGTTAACAAGGCATGACAATTACAAGAACGGGTCTACAATATAAAATTAGGTCAGTATCAATACATCCCTCAGGAGTGTGAAAAATCCAGTCCCCTGAACATTGCGGTTAAACAGGCCTAACCCTTGGTGTTGATAGTGCTGCATCAGAGGGAGAATTCTCCTGTCAACGCACCTACCACCTCTGAGGGAGGTGGTGTGCCAATGCTGATGGCAGAAGCCCTCCCATCAGTGTAGGCAGTGTCTCCGCCGCAGTGCTACAGCACGCATCTCACTACAGCCTTGGAATGTCAAATTCTGCCTTCCCTGATTTTGCTGAGGAACTATGGGAGGGCTTAAGGTTCTTTATTGTGAGCTTTGATGCATTAACTTTAGGGACAACGGAACCTGATCTTGAACAAAAAGCTATCTTTGTTCCAAGTGTTAATTAGTCACTTCAACTAACGAGCTCTTCATAAAAATCAAACAAAAGAAAAAGGCTTTAAGCAGTCTGAATGAAAATCCCTTTCTTTTGCCATAGCTTAGTTTTTACTCTCATGTGTGACTTTCTCCAGTACAATGGTCATCTGAGAATCTTCCAGTCCTAATGGGACCTGTATTTATCATTTAGAAAGCAAACTGAAAACAAAAGCAAATAACCCCTTCTTCTCCGCAACCACCCATATTACTAATCAAGACAGAATATTAATGTATCTGTCCTTATGATGGCTCATTAATACTAGCTACGTTTTTATGCCCTGCATTGGACTATATACACTTCAGAACTCATGCATGTTACAGCTAAACAGAATGAACACATAATCACTACCATATCCACTAACAGATTAATTAACTGTATAAACATACAGACACACAGTGTAAATGTACAGCGCCATATTCTACTCTTGCATGCATGCAACCAATAGACTTCAATGGGTTACAAGTGAATGACAGAGCAGAATTTGGTCCAGGGGGCATTGACTGTAAATATTTCCATAGAGCCAACATCTGGAAGTGTCTATAGAAACTAGGGATGTAAAAAGTCATTTAAAAATGTAACTGTGTAACTGCTAAAAATTCCTAGCGGTTACACATGCTGCAGGCTCTGCAGTATAAAGTTTACATATAAGCTTATACTCCAGAACCCACAGTGAAGCTGGCTCCCCAAGAGCAAGGCTGGCTGCCAACCCCTCTCCTGGGGAAGCTTTGCTGCGGGCTCTTTTATACTGCATGTTATGCATTGAAGCTGGCTCCTTGGGAGCAGGTCCAGCAAGGTCAGCTCCCCAGGAGCATGGAAAGGGCAGGCCCTACTGGCCCGCTCCCAGGGAGCCAACATGTAACCTGTGGCAGGGGTCCAGCTGGGCCCCCCTAGGACAGAGGCTGCTCTGGTCAGCCCACACAGCCCTTCTTGGGGTGGTCCCCGCAGGGTTGGAGCAGCCGCCTTGTCCAGGGCAAGTGGGGAGCTGCTCCAGCCCCTGCAAGTTAACCATTTACATTCCTAATAGGAACAATGAGACCAGCATCTGGAAACACACCCTACGAAGCCAGGCAAATGTACAATACAGGCTGCAAAAGTGGCATTAAAGTGCAACATGATCTAGGTCTATGCCAGTGTTTTTTAAACTTTTTAAGACCGAGGAACACCAAACAATTTTTTTTTATGAGGAACACCACCAGGGATTTTCTTGTTGTTGTTGAGAAAAAAAAATCAGGGGGAGGAGAGGAGATTGGAGAGGGATGTTATTGAGAAAAAAAAAATAATAATAAAGTCGCCTGCCCCTTTAAGGACAGCCATTTTGAAGTATTTTGTTCTCTGCGGCACACCTCCGACTGCCTTGCGGCACACTGGTGTACCATAGAACACAGTTTAAGAAACACTGCTCTATGTAGAGTCTCCTCTTCCTGACTGCTTAAATTATTACTATCTACAGACCTTCATATTATGCCCCTTGAAAAAGGCTAGGTATGGAGAACTTTTCTTTGCTCTTGCTACTGACTGCAGATTCTCTGGCAAATGCTTATGCACAGCCAGTCTGAATTTGGATTGAGTGGTATATTTATTTTTCTTTATGTTGGGACTGGCAAACACAAGCCAACTGTCTGACACAGGTGCACGCAATTTAACACCGTTTGGCTCTGCTCCTCTCGCAGTTGGTCAACAGTTGTTTGAATTATTTACTGACTAAATCCCCTTAGCATTTACCATGCACCTGAGTAGAAAATAGGATAACATATATTTTATTTTTCTTAAATGGTCATTGTTGATTTACCTCCCACTTGCGCAGTTTTGCTGTAGGTACCGGAAAGAGGCCCATTCATGCCACTTCCATAGTCTCCTTTAAAGTAACGATTTAGAAGTATTTTCCTTAAAGTGTTGCCCTTTAGGAGAAAGATGAAAAATAGCATGAGATACAGTGGCTGCCATTTTCTGCTTTCTGGAAAACAATGCTGTTTGCCAAAGTGATATTCTACTAACTTGTTTTATATAAAAGAGCAAATATATAACTAGTGATAGTAGCTGGGGGAATTAGGTTGCTGCCTAACAAATCTCATGTCAAATTTTCTAAGCTGCTTTTCAATACACTAATTCTTTAATAAGACAACCCACCAACTACATTTTGATCTGGTTCTACAACCCACCATGGCACATATGCAGCCTCTAACCCAGCACCACAATCCTAATTCTAGGGGAGGCCCTGGGATGGGTTGGGGGAAGAGC